GTAAAATGACTATTACTCAATAAAAAATGTTTTAAAAAAAAAGAAAAAAGAATAGTTAAAATTTAAAAAAACATTAAAATTATTGTTTAAGTATACTTCATATGTTCAAAAAGCTAGAGGAAAGATTAAACATGTTAAGTGGAGACATGAAAGGTATTTGACAAGATCTATATTGAACTTTAAGAAATGAAAACTCTATCTGGGGTGAAAAATACACTAGACGGGGTTAAGAGCAGATTAGACAGTAGAAGGAAAGAGGACTGAACACGGAGACTTAATGGAAATCTCTTCTGTAATTGTGAAGCTTTCAGTCTGGTCTCGCTCAGCCTCCGTGGTCTGGCACTAAGACCCCTCCGCTGCCTTGCTTTCAGGAAACAATCACAGGAAAACAAAATCCATAGCATCCAAGAGGGAGTGAGCAATCCAACAGCACATGTGGCACTCTGGTCAAATGCAGAGGCTGAGTGACAGGCGACGCTTGGAAAAAATCCCAAGCCAGCAGGCTTGTTTCTTCTTCCAAAAGTGAGATTCAGATTGAGGGCACTGCTGTCAGGCAGGAAAAGCCAAAGTCACCACAAGTTCCGTGTAAGAGTCTGCATGAAGGAGAAGCAAAAACCTGCACCAGCCCTGACTCAAAGCCCCTTTGCTGAAGAAGTCCTGGTTGCTGGCTCCTTTTAGATATGACTTTCTCCATAATTGGATAAGGGAGAAACTTGCCACTTGCAAAATAAGACCAAAGTTATAAGTGGACCTCACCATACGTGGAAGTTGCATTTGAATTTCATGTGAGTCTCGGCCCCAGAAAGAAGTGATTTTTTTTTTTAACGTAGGAAAGTCAAAACACTCTTTCCCCTGCTGGAATCAGTGTGAGGTATTTCCCCAGAAGCTGCACAGCCAGAAAGCCCCGTGTCATTCTTGCCCGTCCTTTCAACCACCCGGTGAGCAAGATCAGCTCAGGGGCACTGGACACTTAACATCACCAATGATTCACACCTTCTAGCAAAGGGCAAAAACGAGGAGCCCAGTGTTGTCGAAACCGAG